GACTTTCCTACCTTTTTGCGCGCCTGGATCTTCTTTCTTCTGAGACTTTCTCTTTCTTCTCCTTTTCGCGCACTTGGATCTTCTGTCTTCTGAGGCTTTCTCTTTCTTCTTCTCTTCTCTTCTCTTCTCTTCTCTTCTCTTCTCTTCCCATCTCTGACTCTTCCCATCTCTGACTCTTCCCATCTTTGACTCTTCCCATCTCTGCTTTTCATCTGTCTATATTGTCGGAAGTTTGACTTCTAAACTTCCTTCGAATCAATGCGCCACTTCCGAGGCAATCTGATTTGTGCCTTTGCCACCATATCGTCCATTTATCGATGGCAAGGTTTTTCAACAGCATATCGACTTCGACTGAGAGTTGTTTTTGAATCCATGTTGACGAAAGGTTCGGAAAGGCCCTAATGCCGGTTTGCGCTTGGCATAACCTCGCGCGTTCCACGGGAGCTCACCGAGACTGCTGTCGGGATGCCTAAGATGGGAGTGCAATTTGCTGTTCCTTTTCGATGCCTGGGATATCGTTCATGTTCGTTGATTCGTTAATGCGATCTTACTTGGCATTAAAACACCTTAGAAGATGTGACTTTGGAGCTGTGCCGCTCCGTTATGACGTGGCCACCCGGAAGCCATTATTATGACCTCTTCAAGGCAATCGCTCTTTCGATCTCTCCCCTTGACTGGTCGCGTTTCATGGCGGCCTTTGCGATTTTGTGGTCGCTCGTGGTGTCCCAGGACCTTGATGATCCAAAAAAAACGCTGGGCGTGGATAAAGTGGGTACTACTGAGGAATATGAATGTTTGATAATGTTTGACTCTCGTAGAATTGCTAGGTCCATGGCTGAAAAATGGTTGATGAAGTTGATGAATGTTTTTTGCATAGGCGGCCACAATGGAACCCCCAGCATTGACAATGCAAATTCGAGTCCTGAAAACGCCAAGCGGTTCTTTTTGTGTTTTGAGGATTCAAAAGACACGACACCAATCTTTTGTCTTTTTCTTTCATAGGTTTGGGTTTTGCCATGTCATGGGCCCTTGTGATTTCTTGTCTCCATGTCATTACAAGGAGGCCTGCGCGGCAGAGCAGTGTGGTTTCAAGGGTGGGTCCAACACTGTGTCTAAAGATGTGGCCTCCATGGTCCAACTCAATGTTGGCCAGTCCTCCAGCATTAACACGATGGCCCAACTAAAGAATGGCGGCTATTCCTTGGCAGCAACAGGTCGCTCGATGGACCAATGGAAGTGAAGTCGGTCGAATCATCGCATGTTTGGACAGAGAACTGCAATCAACAATTCGACGATACGCATCATTTCAAGAAACACCCTCGTTGCATGCCAAAGGTAGCCTAGGCTACCTGAATTCCATGTACTTTAGTATATTATATAAAATGCATATGGGTCGGAAACCATTTCTTCGCGGCTTTTCAGTCTTCTCACGCCCAATTTTCTTGATTTGTGTCTGTGTTGGAAACGTCAAAAGGTTTGTGTCATTTGTTGGGCTTGTTGTGTGATTGGCTGCGGCGAAGAGTTGGTTTGGATCGTGTATGTGTTGGAGTCCGGGGGGCGGTTTGTTGGTGAGATGGGCTTTTATCCAGTGAAACTTGCAAGTTTGCCTTTCCCTTTTTTGTACAACATTGGTTTCTCATGCTGCATGTCGAATCGGATGGACAGATCGTTGAATGTGTTCTTTGTTTGTTCTTTGTTTGTTCTCTGTTTTAGATGGAGTCTCTCAGTCTCTTGAGATCGGCTCAGATCAGTTTAGGTTCTCTTGAACTTCAAGACGTTTGTGTCGTGTGTGAGGGATTCCCGACCGAGGCATAAGCTGCGAGCAGCACTGCAATGACAACAGCTGTAATGCGGCAATGACCAACAATGCCACTGAAGCCGACCTGGAAGCCCTGGCTCCTGGGTGCGTGTTTTACACGCTTGATTCGCGAACTTATGCTCCTTTCATCAGCTACCTGTACTCCGCCCGCCCCCTATGCTACGCAAACGGCGATACATCAACTACGTGCGCTGCAACAGCAGATGAATACTCCAAACGAGTCTGCTACTGCGGGGCTGGTGGAGGTGGTGAAGGTGATCCCCATATCCACAGCTTGCGGGGAGCCCATTACACCTTGCTGCAGCAAGGCTTTTTCGTCGCCTGGAACTTCTCCAAGGCTGTGCCAGCATCAACTGTGCCAAGTGCAGCTCCAGCTCGTGGGTGGCAGCTCCTGGCCGCCTATGCAGGCCATCGCTTCACCACGCAAGGCCTGCTGCTTTTGGATCCCCACTCCGGGCAGTCCATGGAAATCACAGCAGAAGACTGCTCTTGGCGTGTCAAGGAGCAGAAAACCCCATGGCGCAAGGCGCAGGTGGAGTTGCTATCGGCAGAAGACGGGACGACCAGCCTCCAAGTGAAGAGGCTGCACGAGAAACTGGGCGAAACCAAGATCTTGAGGTCTGCAATCCTGTTGCAGATGGGGTTAGGGTCCGACATGAAGAACATCTCAACCCTTGTGGTCCATTGCAGGCCAAAGCATCACCTGGACTTCAAGATAAGCATGTTCCAGAAGAGCGACATCGACCATGTGGGTGGTGAACTTGGAGTGGCTCCAGACGTAGACCACAACTACCACTTCTTGTTCAGCAAACAGGGCATGATGCGAATGAGAGCAGACCAAGAGTTTAAGGCTGGGATGACTCAGAGACATTTTGGAAACGACGGAGACACATGTCCAGACTATCGATTCCCAAAGAGACTAGTGACTACTACCATTGTTTGGCTGACAGCAGTTGTGGAAGGTACTATACTTTGAATGCATCAATACCACTGTCTTCAGCGCTACTAAGGGGCTTTTGGTACATGGGATACTCTAACAGGATTCCTGACACTTGAAGTATAGTATCCAAGATTTTCCCGAACACTTTTCCCTTCTCAGCTGTTCGTCAGAGCAGTCAAATCTATAGATATGTATAGTATCATGTATATAGTATCATGTATACATATGATTACATATGTATATGTGTAAGAAGTGATGCTGGGTGTACTTGAACCCGGTTTCCATACCATTCCATACCATTCCATACCATGCCATGAATTTTCAGAAGCTTTGTTTTGAGGCACCTGGATCGTGGGTGACCTTGGGTGGCAGCCCAGCTGGGGCCGCATACTTGGAGAAGAAACACCAAACAGGGACAAGTATGGTGCAGTCGCAGGGTTGCAGTGATGCTCAGGAGGACGATGCTAGAGCCATTTGTTCGAAGCACCTCCAGCAAACGACTCACCCGGAGACGTTTGCTGATTGTGTGTACGACTTATGCCATGGAGGTGATGAATCTTTCGCCCAAAGTGCGGCAGCATTCCTTTCGGAATCCAGCGCCTGATAAACTTTAGGCACGAAAGCAAGCCGCCGCAAATGGCTGGAGTGCTGGGATGCTGAACGCAAACGCGTGTACGTCCCAAAGAAGAAGTGAAAAGACTACATTTGCCTGGCCGCATACGAAACGGGATGTTTTTGAATTAAACACAAAGATTTTTTGAAACGATGAACATCAGTAAACGCATTGTAAACAGGGGGTTGATGTGACCCTGATGTGACCCGGTCGCATCGGCTCGTGCCTTGCGGGAATACATGTTTCCAGTCACCTGATGTGACTAAAGTTGCTGAGAGTACCCAGGACAAACAGTCTGTGCTGATGCAAAAACGCGTTGGTTTTTTTCCTGCTGCTGAACTTTTGCAATCTGCATTCCAAGCTTCACTGCCCGGCTTTCCAACATCAAACAAACGTAGCATTCCCAAACTTTCCTGCAATGGGCAACTTTCGGCAATCTCGAAAAGAACAATTCGACTTTTTTGTTCACTTCGACACCCGGTGGCTGAGGTTGAAGTTGAATGCCATTAGCCAGGCATCCGGGCGCGGACGCGGAGGGTCACCCTGTTTTTAGCTTCTTTTTTCCGGTGAAAAATGGACGACCAACTAAGAAACGATATGAAACGAGTGAATGCACAAGTATTTAGTGAATTGGTACTCCTCATTGTATCAAATTGTATCCGACTCCATTCTTTTGTTTTCACCATCGAACCATCCCCAAGTGCTTCCAAATGGCACGGCAATGGTGCTTTTTCATTGTTTTTTCAGACGTCAATGTGGAGACGCCATTGTGTCACCATTGCAGGTAGGCTACAGAATCGTTGGAATGTTGGGATCCCAATGACATGCCCTGTGTCAGTGAAAAGTGACGGGGACAATCATTGGCTTAGTAAATGGGGATATTTAACTCATCTGGTATATTTATGAGTATTTATGAGATTTATAATATGATACATTATGGCATGTAGATCTTTAATGGTGTACACTACAATAGCTGTTGTTTACCCCGATCGGATTTGAGCCATCCCCATATGTAGGATATCAATTCTAATGGTGAGAGAATAGGATTTAATAGGGCTTGAACCAAGCAATGTCTGGGATATTGTGGGATGTACAACCAACACCATGTCTTAGAATACGGAAATTACATCCATGGAACATGGCAATCTAGTGGGGAAAACGGCGCTAATTGATGTTATGGGCATGTTTATGGAAAATATGATGATGAACACCATTGAATTACCGGTCTGGCCCATTTTGCGCAAAGCCGGCTATCTTTCGAATCTTGTGGAAAAAAATAAATTAAATACTTTTCTTCAACACATTCGTCTTGCATAGACACTGAGATATCTCCATGTTCCTTGAAGAATCCAACATATGCCCTCCGGTAATCAAGAATGGCAATGGAAAGTCCTGATTTTCTCGAAATTCCAGCGCGAAACCTCAATCACAGTATTTCCCAGCCATGCTTGATGACCAGAGGGTAGCCATGGGTTGTGCATGGGCCCCTTGCGGCCAGGCGACGAAAAAGATGCGTGACGACTGCCACTGTCATCCGTTGATCATGATTCTCCCATGATATCTGCCATTTATTTTGAGGTAAAACTTAGATGTGTACTTTTAATCATTTCGTCATTTTCCAGAAATTT